GAAAACAAACACTGATAACAGGGTTTTAACACAGCCTGAATTTTTTTTTTTTTTCCATTATTTTCTAGGTCTGGAATGGATGAGAGGGGAAAAAGAAAACGGCATAGAAAAATATCTGTGTATTTCCAGCCTTTATTTCCAATCATATCTGTTTAAATCTCATCCTTCCCTTTGTTTTGCTTGTGTCATCCTCTCTTTCCTTCCTTCTTTCTTTCCCCATGGTATCTTTTCCTCCTTGCTCTTAGTTTCTGGGATCTCCAGGACATTTAAAGCATTTCCACTGTAGAAACACTGTGAAAATACTGTGAAACGAACGTAAAGGAGTCAAGACAGATTGCCCGTAAAGGCCCAGTATTTTTTACAATTTTTAAAAATGTTTGTCATTACATCAAGTCTCCATAAGGTCTGCGCTGCTGATTCTGTGTGTGGATTTTATCTGGAGCATCCAGACCAGCCAGCTGATGTCAAAGAGCTAAAAAAAAAAAAAAAAAAAAAAAAAAATCCATCTCCATTTCTCCATTTAACTTGTGGCTGTTTTTTTTTTTAGGGAATGGCAAACAGCCGTGACTCGTTGCTGTTGCATAGCTACACGATAGTGTGTCTTCGCCCACATGCAGACACACACACAGAAATGACTGCCAAGAATAATACCCCTCCACTTCCTGCCCCAGGAATCAGCGCCATCACGGCTGTACATGTTAGAAACCCACAAACATGTTGTGTGTTTTCCTAACGTGCATGTACTCCTGCTGCACAGCTGAACTGCCGTCAGATCACAAACATGTTCAAGCCGACGGCTGCCTCTGCTAGTCAGTGTGCTCTGTCTGTGTTTGTTTAGCATGAGCGTGTCAGTCCGAGTTTGAAGGTGGCAGCGAGGGCCTCAGGAACTCTTCATCAGGGTTTCAGGCTTCTCTGTTGACCTTGATGTTCACATACAGTCACAGACTAAAACATTAGCAGCTTCAGCATCAGCATATCTGCTCTGCTTCTGCTGTAAGATGACGAAAGAGAGCAGCAAGACATGGCTGTTGGGTTTTAGACTCATCTGGAAAAGAAACAAGTAGCCCGATCTCACGCTAACCGGCCTTTGCGTGTTCTCCATCCTTTTTTTTTTGAGTGTTAATAATATGTTTTTGTGTGTGTGTGTACAGACTGTGCTGCTGGTCCTGACTTCTCAGCACGATGAGTGAGGCGGAGGGCCAGTTCTACAGTGTGCAGGTGGGGGACTCCACCTTCACTGTGCTCAAGCGCTACCAGCAGCTTCGTGCCATTGGCTCAGGGGCCCAAGGCATTGTCTGGTGAGACTCTGTTAGAGTTTGTTTGCTGGCTGTGAACGTAGCTCAGTGCTGTAAATTTCCAGACCTCGTTCCTATTTCTTTCATAATCAGATTGTTTTTAGGTCATTTTGCATCTTTTTCTACTATGCAGTTATTACAGAGTCATTTGGCTTTTTTCATCTATTCTTGATGGGGGGGAAAAAAAAAAAAGGTTTCGCACTCTTCAGAAGAATCATGTTGGTGTTTACAGCCAAGACTTTCCTCATTGCACCTCATTTTATAAAAAAAAAAATTAGAGTTGATATCTTTGGAAAACTAAAGATTTTTTGGTTATCAAATTCATCTTGCAGGGATGCCTGCAAACCAGACAGTTGATGTTAAAGTGTAGAACAGCTCTGCATCAGACCAAGATGATGCCAGGAGATATAATACCATGTGTTTGAGAGAAAAGTCACCCTAAAATACCTTACAGTTTCATTTTAAAAGAAACAATATTTTTACAGAGCTGTGTTTAACAACCTTTATTACCGGCTGCCAGCATAAGTAACACCTGTAAGCCATCATTTAATTTCTACATTTGCACTTTAGAAAAGTTTTTTTTTCTATATTGTTTCCAAAAAGAAACCTAAATCTAACTTTTACTTAAAAATGTTTACACAGCAACCTTCTATGTTTATAAAACAACTGTATTTCTTTGTACTATTTGAGTTATTGTGCTGTAGAAACTCTTTGCAGATACGTTATGGGAATATGCTGCAAACATGCTAAAAGCAGCAGCAATTTGTCCAAAGTCAAGAGCCACAGGTTGCAGAGCAACTTTTCTTTTATTTGCTGAGGTTTTGCTCCCTATTGAAACATGCAGCCTCCATAGAAAGTTTTTTTTTTTTTTTTTCTGAAAGCTTCTTACAGCTTTTGTGATTCCTCTAGGAAGACTTTACTGTCAATTTTCCACAAAAATGGGTTGTTGTTACCGCAACAAGTTTCCACTTAGAAAAACTCCCAGATTTTTAATTTAAATTTCTGACATTTCAGATTTTTTTCCTCTTAACAATAGTAATTATAAAAAATTTCAAATGATTAGCTTTAGAAAACTTTGGATGCATTTCTAATAATTCTCAAAGCCAGCCTAGATAGAAGTGCTATTATTTATAAACTTGACCTGTTCTCTACATCTTAATGGATGTATAATATTACATTATTAATACGATCAAAAACAGTTTTAGCTGGTTCGGTACTCAGCTTGAACACGTCTTCTGTGTAATCCTATATTGGATTGTTACCAGTGACCTTACCATTGTTTGAAGGGCTACACACGGATCTCTCTTGTTTAAAATGAGAGAAACTCAGTAAAAATGTAACTTGGCTGTTTCTTTCCTTTCTACCTTGAGGCGAGGAAGCGCTTCTCTCAGTAAGACTCACATATGTGCTTCTAACCTTTTTTTTTCTCTCTTTCATTTTTCATGAAATGTGTGACTAGCTCTGCTCTGGATACAGTCCTCGGTATACCAGTGGCTGTGAAGAAGCTCTGTCGACCCTTTCAGAACCAGACCCATGCAAAGCGGGCCTACAGGGAGCTGGTGCTGCTGAAATGTGTCAACCACAAAAATGTAAGATTTAACGCAAGGCAACAGAATGTTATTTTTGACGTAAAGATGCAAATAAGCTTCAGTAAATATGTGATTTAATTAGTTATGCAGCAGGATAAAGCTGCTGTAAGATCAAATCGTTCTTTGGAAGAAACTTTGGAAGTCGCTGCATAAACTACTTTTAAAAAAATGAGCAGACCTGAGAGGAGAAAAGAGTGAGCTCTGTGCAGTGAAGTGGATGGGAGAGTAACAGAGTGAACTAATGGCTTGTTTTTGTGCTTGCAGATCATCCGTCTGATCAATGTTTTCACGCCTCAGAAGTCTCTGGAGGAGTTCCAGGATCTGTGAGTGACAGCAGAGTCCAAATATTTTATCCAAATTTCTTTTTCTGTCCATTGTTTTTTTTTTTTTTTTTTTCCAGTTTCTTGGTTTTATTTTCTAATAAAGCTTTGCTTGCATTGTTCACGTCTCCTCTCCTTTAGTTACCTGGTAATGGAGCTGATGGATGCCAGTTTATGTCAGGTGATTCACATGGACCTGGACCACGAGAGGATGTCCTACCTGCTCTATCAGATCCTTTGTGGCATCAGGCACCTGCACTCAGCTGGGATCATCCACAGAGTAAGTCCAGGTGTTTGCGCTTTGACCTGAATCTACACAGAACATGGTGCATTTTACTTCCCTCTCTTTTGTTTAAAGTATTAAGAAAAAATGTAGAGATGTCTGAATGCAAAAAAATCCTCTAGTTTGACTCCTGGATACTTCAGTATACAAAGGAGTTCATGGTCAACTCAGCTATTTCAAGATGCCCTGATCCTATGGGTAACGAGGCCAAATCGTGAGCCCTCCGCTACCTTGCTTTGTATCAAAACAAATGTCTTCTGACATTCATTTTGATGTTTTATGGCTCATTCAGAGGCAGCTTTGTAGGTTCATCTGCCATATTTTGAATTATTAGAGCTGCTGACTTCCAAACAAGCCATACTTGCTCTGTGTTGTCATGATTTTTCACATTTAACCCACTGACTGGAGCCTGTAGAACCTGAGATGGAGCTCCCGAGTTTCTTAAAATTTTTTTTTTTGTTCTGAGCGTACATTTTCTTTGGGTGAAATCACTGAGATGTAAACCCTGAGGAACTTTACCTAACATCTCTTGACAGTCTTTTTCCAGTGAATGTGGGTTTTTTTTGTTGTTTTTTTTCCCTGTAAAATACTTTTGTTGTCTTCCTCTTCAGGATCTGAAGCCCAGCAACATTGTTGTGAAGTCTGATTGCACTTTGAAAATCCTTGACTTTGGTCTCGCACGGACGGCTTGCACAAACTTCATGATGACCCCCTACGTAGTAACCCGATACTACCGCGCCCCGGAGGTCATCCTGGGCATGAAGTATAAGGAGAACGGTGAGGAAAAAAATACCCACCAGATTTTCACAGAAATTGGTAATTCTCAAACAGGAACATAAATATATCTCACATCTTTATAGTTTACAAATCTCTGCTTTACAATTGAAAACAGTTTCAACTTGCCTGTTCTTGTTGATCCAGTTATGCTGTTAGTTTTTCTGTGCGGTAATTTTAGCCATTCAATGTCATTGAATGCTTTCAATCTGCAACTACTTTGCTTCAGTGGACCTGTGGTCAGTTGGCTGCATAATGGCTGAAATGATCTGTCATAAAGTCCTCTTTCCTGGAAAGGACTGTATCCTTCCTTGTTACTCCAAGAAAACCTTCGTTTAAATGTTTCTGATGTTTTTCTTCTGTTTTATTTTTCTTTGTTATCTTTAAAAGACTCTTTTGGGATTCTTTCAGAAATACTTTAGACATATGTTTTGTACCTAGTAGTTTGGTCAGTCACATCATTTTTAAACTCTAAGACTGTCTTACGTCTCCATGCCCTGGCAGTTGCCAAGGAGATGAACAATGAAAGTGACTTTGCAGGCCTTCTTGGTGTTACCATTTCATGCAATACAAACCACCTATCTAAATCATCTCAGATTTACACTCCACCGGTGTTGCTGCGCATTACACCGGTGGAGCCGAGTTGCTCCTCACCGCCCAGAATCAGAGCCCGGACATCGGTGGGTCAGAAAACGCCAGCAGCCTCCGTGACATTGCTTAAAAACATGTAATTGAACACAATGTGTCACGTTAACATGGACGAGGTTCCCCTCGTATTTGACAATCTCTAAATAAATGCGACTTGTAGTGCATTGAATTTATTCTTCTTATTATTATTTTAAATCGCCATGTGAACAATGCCATCTTAATTATTTTCCTGCCTATATCCAGAATGTCACTTGGACATTTTTTTGGCTCCTTTCTTTTTTTTCACACTGGGTAATTTTTTTTAACTGACTGCAAGAAAATCATTTTATTTTATTTTTTTCAGAGAAACATTGTAAAGATATTATAAATGCAGTGTGTCTGTATGGTTCCACTTCTTAACATTTGGTGTGCACCCATATGCACCTTTGGGGTTGTGTGCATGAGCAGCTGATGAAAACAGGGCTCTCTTAAAGTCGGTCAGTCGAGCAAAAGGAGATGTAAACATCGCGATTGTGCTTTAAGAGCAATCCACACAAAGTAAACTCCTTTTAGATAGATCTGTTTATTTGTTACGTAGTCATACCTTATGTCAAACATCACTGCCTAATTGTTGCTGTGTTATATAACCCAGTCATTCTCTCAGAGGTATTGATGCAAACACTCAGAGTGAGAGGGGGTGTCCCTCCCGCCCCACATTCTGTTGAGATGCATACAGCCTTAAAAAAAAAAAAAAAAATCCCTGGTGTACTCTGTGCAAAGTTTACATTTATGATTCATGTGATATTTGTGAAGAATCGACTCGGAATTATGTGCAGAGCTCTGGAGATTTTATCAGAGGGAGAGCGAGCTTTCAGCTTGAGGGAAAGTGGACCAGAGGAAACAGTGAATGGCCATTTGCCACTTCTTAACACTCCCGAGCAAACAGGCAACTCAAGAGAGCGAGGGGAAAAGACAAACTCCATCCTCCTCTATTAAAAACACACACACACACACACACAAACACACACTCGCTCGCACAGGCGCATGCACACGCAAAGAGAAAGCGAGGGAGAGAGCAACAGCTGTGTAAACTGATAAGCGTAGGCGAGAAAAAGGCCTGGGAGGCTGCAGCCGGTTTGAAGCCAGACTGAAGATGTGCACCGCATGAAGAAATCAGCAGAACATTTCTCTGAAAACAATGAGGCGTGGTGTTTCTACATCAGTCAGAGCAAACCATACGTCTGCGCTTCATCTGTACTGCCTTACTGTGACGTGTTGCTGTGTATTTGTTTTTTTTTTAATCATTTCAGTGTAATCGTTTTTGTCTGTGGGATTTTGTGTGTCACATTTGTGTGTGTTTTCTGTTCCCAGTGGACATCTGGTCAGTGGGGTGCATCATGGGAGAGATGGTAAAAGGCAGCGTCATCTTCCAGGGCACCGATCGTATCCTTCACTCTTCTCATCGTCTCTGTGCCAGCTGGTGTCTAACATTCAGAGCGTTGTGTCTTGTAGTCCTTCAAACACATCAAGATGTTTTCTGTTGTTGTCATATATATTCATTTCATTTTAAAGCATGTTTGAGTCCTGAAAAGCGCTATGCAAGTCTGACGTCGTGGATCTTTATATTTGCAGATTTAACCAACTATTTAGAGCAGATCTGGGTTTAAGCTAAGATGTTATGTATTCCCGCCAATGTTTATTAATCAGACAATTTCTGGTTCAGACGTCTGCAGTCTCCCTAATTGTCAGATGGAATCAGACTGAAACAATTCACATCATTAGCATTTATAGTGTTTGTCTCTCTTGTTTCTAATTATCGCCTCTCACTTACCAGGGACTGCGTTGTAGGCGAGTAGCTTTGAATGGATGCAAGGCAACAAGTGTGATACGAGGTCATATCGCTTTTCATCCTGCAAGATAATTGCCTTCGCTTGTATTTGTGTTCTGTTGAGGGACCAAAAACCGAAAAATGTCAAGATCCACTTGATGAATTTGAGCCTCCCGCCCAGCCGGTTTCTCTGACAAACATGGAGGACTAGATGGATTCTCCACTCCTTGATATTTATCAGTTATTTAAGTACAGATGTCTACATTGACACTTGATGTAGCGCTGCACCACATCGCCGGCAATAAACTAAAATGATAAGATGATGAATCCATTTTTTTCTTCACTTATTTTAAGAACTATTCTGGTCTTTTCATTTGTTTAATGAACGTTTTTTTATGGCTGTAGTGGCTTTTATTCAGTGGTAGCTGGACAGGAAAAGGGCAGAGAGAAAGAAATTAGCCTGAGAATCGAACCGGGGACTTTAGCCTCTTCACGTGAAGCATCTGCTCTATCACTGATTCGGTTAGACGCCACCACACTAAAAAAATGTTTTAACATGAAAAGAATATTAAAGTATTTGACTGGATGCTTTGTAAAACCACTTTTTGCTGCAATCACAGCCGCAGGTCTTTGGGAGTATGCTCATTGTTAGTTTTGCATAACCATATAATAGAGTTTTTATATATATATACATATTCTTAGTCATGCCAAATTGGCAATATCTGGGAATGAAAACTTTTTACAGATTTTTAAGACCTGGACTTCTACTAGCTCATTCCAGCGCATAACTTGCTTTTGCTCCACAACGTTCCGCTGTAGTGCTATCTGTATGTTTAGTGTTGTCGTCCTGCTGGGGTCTCAAAGCTTTTAGTTGCCTTGAATGTTTGTTGTTGTTTTTTTTTTTCAGTGTCGTCCTGTGTTTACATCCATCTCTCCATCAACACTGACCAGCTCCTTGTCCCACAGAATGATGCTGCCTCTACTGTGCTTAATGATAGGAGTTGGTTTCACAGTGTTTGTAGAGATGCACTGAGTATTTATTAATCGGGTGGTTTATAAAGCAATTGGTTGCACTGGAGTTGTTTAGGGGTACCATAGTAAACTGGGCTATATACAAATGTATTGATTACATTAGATCCATGTAAATGGATCCGTGTGTGTCTCTGTTTTCAATATTGACACAATCAATCAACAGATTTGTGTTGAGCTATCACATAAAATGTCAATATTCAGTTGGTGTGAATACTTTTGCAAGACACTGTAAAGGTTATGATTCCTAATTAAGTTTTTTGTTCATATTAAATTTATTGACACTTTTAGCCTTTTTAGTTTCCACCAAACCACTTTATTTATGTTAAATAAAGTGGTTAGGTGCAGGTCTTTGGAAGTATGCTCATTGTTAGTTTTGCATAACCATATAATAGAGTTTTTTTTATTTTTATTTTTTTATACATATTCTTAGTCGTGCTAAATTTATTTAACCACTTTATTTATGCTAAATAAAGTGGTTTGGTGCTTTTAGTTGGGTTTATGGCCCACTAAAATCTTGGCACGGATTTCTTGTTTAATACTCTTTGTTTAAATTTTCAGGACTTGACTGTGTCCTCATGAGGGTTTCACATGATTTTTGCTCGTTCTTTTTCACTTTCATTTATAATTGTAGTGTACATGCCTACAATTTTCCATAACAAATGGCTTTGTCCAGACATCGACCAGTGGAATAAAGTGATTGAGATTCTGGGCACGCCCAGCGTCGAGTTCATGAACCGACTGATGGAGACCGTAAGGAACTATGTGATGAACAAGCCACAGTATCCAGGCGTCAGCTTCACAGAGCTGTTCCCAGATTGGGCTTTCCCTTCTGAATCTGAACAAGACAAAGTGAAAAGTAAGAACTCCGGGCACTTAAACAAAACCAATACTTTGCATGAATGCTGCCCTGGGAATGGAAAGTGACCCGATTTTTAGGTTAAGATGAAGAGATGTTACAGACACGGTAATGCTTGTCCTGTTTCGCCCAAGCAGCTGTTCAAGCTCGGGATCTGCTCTCCAAAATGCTGGTCATTGATCCGGAATGCCGCATCTCGGTGGAGGAAGCCCTTCATCACCCCTACATCCACGTGTGGTACGACCCCGCGGAGGCGGACGCGGTGAGGAAACTGGCGGTAGACTTTCTCAGCACAGGAACGGCGCTAGCGATTACTCTGATGGATCTGTTTCCTTTTGTGTCTCAGCCTCCTCCTCAGATTTCAGATAAGCAGCTGGAGGAGAGAGAGCACACCATCGAGCAGTGGAAAGGTAGAACACCGCCCTCTAGGGACACAAAACAGCATTACCTCTTGTTGTGATTGTTTCCAGGGTTTCTGCAGTCTCCAAGTCTGGAACTGGGAAATGTTGTGTTTTGCAGAAATGACAGAGACAGTGGAGTATAAATTATTTGTATTTCCAGATCCTTTGTTTGCATGATGAGTATCTAAAGCTTAAAAAAAAGCTGCTTCTAACAACCTGCCTCTTGTGCAGTTTTTTTTTCATTATATGTTGCAAATGAACTATTAGAATCATCCATTCATCAGTCCATTTATAACCCCTTCAATCTCTCCACTTATCTGTTGATCCATTGATCTATCCCTTCACACCTGTGTTAATTAGTTTACTTTCATCTATCCATCTTTGTGTCAGTTTATCTGCCTTTCCATCCATCCATTCATCTAGTCTTCCATCTGTCTTTATCTCCATCTGTCTCTCCCTCTCTTCCTCCATTAGTGTGTACCTCCATATATCCAGCCCTTAATCTGCCAACACATCCATCTGTTCCTCCTTTCTTACATTTTGTGTTTTGCATTACATTTGAACCCTGAAGCAGAAAAATAACCTCTGGGTTCTAGAAATTTGAAATCTGGATCTTATGGCACAGGGAACTACATGTCTTATAATATTTTGATCATTCCTTTTGAAGGGACACACATACCCCTTTTCTCATGAAATATTCTGATTGTAATCATTTGCATGGATGTCCCGCTAGGAAAACAGACAGGCTGAAAATATCAAACAAGCTGTTAATTTTGTGCGGCGCCTTTGTGGTTTACTATTATTGGAAATACAGACGTAGCATTTATTTACAATTTGCCCTTACTTTTTCTATTTCTGCTCAGAACTTATTTATGAAGAAGTGATGGACTGGGAGGAGAGGAACAAGAACGGCCTAATGAAAGAAGACTGCTCAGGTTGGTTCACATCGTTGTTTGTGTCTTAAAGTGGATGGAGGTGTGCTGGAATGAGCTGCTGCCGTATGCGTTTTAACCACCGTCCTGCTTCTGTCTCGCGTGTCACGTCTCAGATGTGGCGTCCAGTTCCGCTTCCCAGTCGTCCTCGGCCAACGACATTTCGTCCATGTCCACAGAGCACACGCTGGCGTCGGACACAGACAGCAGCAGCATCGACACGCTGACGGGGCCGCTCGACGAGAGTCAGTGAACGCCTCAGCTGTCAGCTCCCAGCCCCCAAGTCGTCCCACTCAACTAAAATACTCAAACGATCCATCTGCCTCTGTTTAGGTTTGATCCCCTCTAACTTGTGTTTCTGTTCTTTTCTCTCAGTGAAGCAATTTTTTTTTTTTTTTTGTTGGTTTCCCATTTGTGATCAGGTGGATCTTGTTTGCGACTGTTGCCTGGAGGTCAGAGTTATGCTTGTGTAAAAAAGCAAAAGAAAAACATTCTCTCTTCTTTTTCTTGGTGAATGTTTAACTTGATCATCTATAAAGTTTGAGGTGTAGGTGGGGAATTAGAGGTTTGCATTGTATGCCTGTGTTTTAATAGTTTTTATTTTTTTAGAAAACGTCATTATCGTCATCTAATGAGAGCAGACACGGACTAAACAGCCGTTCGCCGCTCTGTTGTTGCATGTTACGCCAAAAAGAACAAAAAGCTTCTCAACCATCTGAAGTTCATCCGATGGTCCAATGCTGATCTTACGAATTCAAACTGTCTGCGCTGAAACGGTTTTGTTTTTGTTTGTTTGTGTTTTTTAATGAACTGGCACGTGTGATGTGGATTTTGAGCTTTTTACTCCAGACAGCTGTAGTTTCAGTGTTACAGGTTTGTTTCCTCGTTTGTTGTACCTATGTAGAGCAAGAATCACAAAATTCAGTTTTAAGGTACTGATGATAAATGTGTATAAGCGGATCATAATCCTATAAATCTGAAAGAGGCATAGTGATATATGTATTTATATATATATATATATTTTCTGTTCTTGCAAAATTTTGCACACAAGCCACATTAAAGCCCGTTTAAAAAAAAACATTTAGAAGGCAAATAAAGGCATGGGCTGCTCATTTTCTAAAGCATTCCTTTAGCACCGGGAGACTCATCAAATTAGCCATAAAGCCAGAAAACATGTAGGATCCACATAAAGGCAGCACAAAATGAAGATGTTTACCTTGCATGAAGGCATCACACCTTCAGGATACTGTGGGTCTGAGAGAAATCCATCCGGGCCCGTGTTTTTATCACGATGCATATTGTTCCGACGGAGTATTGTTTGCTTTGCGTTTCCTTTTTTATCATTATTTTAAGCCTGTATGTGTGATGTACAAGTTGTACAGTGCTGTCCTTATTTCCTATGAATCATCCCTTAAGACAGCAGTTGCCCCATTTGCAGAGGACGAGTCGGTGGGAGAAGTTTGCCCAGCAACAAGGGCCTGTTTAAGAGACTCTGGAGAGCTGCAACTCAAAGAAGAGCCTTTTACATGAACTGCAGAGCTGCACACGATTGCACAGTGTGTTGAATAATCAGAATTATGACACTACAGAGCCACTGAGGACTTAAGCACCACATTTTACACCGACATGGTTTTTATTCTTTCTGTCATGCCTTAAACAACCAGACGAGTGGCCAACTCATTCTGTAATTCCTTAGCTCTTCGCTGAGCTATCTGAGATGTGCGACTGCAATGACCACAATATCACTTGGCCAACATCTTTACCCAAACTCAAAACTAATAAAGTGGACGTCGGTGATTCTTCGTGTTGGTTGTGACGTTCTTTCTCATCACAGCAAATGCAAACATCAAAATGTGAAACTGTATGTTAGATTCTTTACACTAGAGTTGAATTTCTAGTGTTTAATAATTCTGTCTTACAACTAATGGAAAACCTAACTTCCGTTTCACAAAATACAATAAGACAGGAAATAAGTTTAAATTTAGAAATGTCAGTCCAATGTGCTTTACAACATCTCAATAATCTTTATCTCAACAGTTTCTCTCCTGGGGTCTTGATTTCCAAGTGAAATGCAGCATTTTGCAAGTGTTTCTTTTCCTCTTGAGCTTAAGTAAAATTGTTCTTCAGTTCACTCACTGCAGTTTTTTTTTTTTTTCCCCTTTTGGATGAGGTTGTTTCACAGTCCCTTTCAGCCTTTAGGTTAAAGTGAAATATTTTTTCCACACTTTTTTCCTCCACTCAACTTTCCATTAATATACTTGGATCCATCTCTCTGAACAGCCAGATTGTTTAGCAGCAATCTTTTATGGCTCGCCTTCCCAGTGGAGTACAAAAACGATAGCTTGTCGAATAACTGTCATGTTGGTGGAAGTCATTTTTCAGTTGCTGAAATGCATGTTTCTTTACTTTATTTCACACCAACTTCTGTCTGAAATGACTTTACACAAGAATCACTTTTTGAGAGATTTTACTGAAATAAACTTTTTGATAATTGAATTTATTGAGATGCTCCTATTACAGGGAAGAACGCGTTTTCTTTTTTGCTACATTATCAGAAAAGCTTTAGAGGAATCCGTCCGTGTCGACTGGTTGCGCCATCAAACCCGCCGCGTTTGACTTGGTTCAAAAACTCTTGACGATGTATTCTGTCTTCTTGGCCTCGTTGTTGAGCTCACCGAAGGTGTCAAAGAACTGATCCATCTCCCGCTGCAGCGTTGCGTTACGGAGCTCTGCGGCAGCTTTGGCCCTCTCTGACTCCACGATCTTAGCCTGGACCACCTGGTACCAGTGGCGCTGCTGCGACAGGTTTGTCTTCAGGCGAACAACCTCCACCTCCAGCTCCTCGTTTCTCTGCTCCAGGCTGATGGGAGTAAGAAGAGGGGAAGAAAAGTGCAATGGTAATGACCAGTAAAATAAAAAAATGGTTAGAGGTTGGTGGGTTTTAAAAGTGAGTAAGATAATAGTTTTCAGTGTTTCTTGTAGTTTGGAAAGAAAAGGGGTCAACACTTTCATCTATCTAAAATACAGCATAGAATTGCCTTAAACCATCTTATAAATCAGTGTTTCTCAACCCTGGTCCTCAGCGCCCCCCTGCTCTGCATGTTTTAGATGTGCCTCTATTCCAGAACAGCTGATTCAAATGATTGCATGACCATCAAGTGCTGCAGAAGCCTGTTAATCACCCAGAGATACAATTCAGGTGTGTGGCAGAAGGGAAAAACCTAAAACATGCAGGACAGGGAGTCACTGAGGACCAGGGGTGAGAAACACTGTAAATATAGATCGATTATTCTTTGAAATTGAAGAAGTTTAAAACTACAGTGACCAACCACAATTTGTAAAATGTATCATGAAAATATTCTCCCAATTACATGAACTTGATTAACTTATGATCAAGAACTGTGCACACCTCTAAAACAGCAGGGGTTTTGGGAGCTTGGTGTGGTCAAGGTCACATCAGCGGTGACCTTAAAATGGCAACCATCGCTTGGACCAATACAAAGCAGTTTTAAAAACATTGTTCCATATTTACAAGTGGAAAACATTTTAGGACATTTGCCAATTTTCCGAGGACTCGATGTCTCACTAGACTCAGCTTCAGGTCAGAATATAAAATATGTAAAGAACAAAAGAAAAATCAATAGCTTATCTGTCTCAAAGCTACAGACCTCACTTTGCTTATTAAAGTATTGTTTTATTCTTTTAGTCCTGGTTATGTGTGTCGTGTTGATAACAGCCTGATTTTTTTGTTCCTCAAGGGTTTTTTTTTTTTCATATTTTAAGATTAAATAAGATTTATTGATTGCCACATAACAGCAGCATGAAATTTAATTAGTGCCACATGTCTAACATGGGTATCTAATATAGTTTCCTTATTTTTTAATTTTTTATTTTATTATTTTGTTGTTGAATCAGAGTTTAAGAGTTTCTCCCAGCAAAGGTTCATGCAGACAGTTTGGTTTAATCGGCTTCATTTCTCACACTCCTACCTTATTTCACTGACGACTGGAAAAGATTAGAAACTGCGGCTGCAGGTGTTCGAAAACGTTTGACCCGTGGTGCTGTCCTATCACGCTCCCTGTCAAGCTAAAAGAATTGCAATAGCCTCTTGTCTTCACCGGATAGTTCCAATGCGTGACCTTACACCGAGACATGCTCTATCTATATCGGTAATAAATGAGGTATGTGTTGTGTCTAGGTCAGCAGCATGGCCCCTTAAATTAGCTCTCTTTCCAGTGTCATGAGCTGTTTTCTATATGTCAGCAAGTCAGGCTATATATGTTTTTTTTTTTTTCCACTTTACACCAACCAGCTGTTAAGTCATGGGAGCACAAACTCCAGCGCCGGATTCACAGAAATGAGGAAAAAAACCGATGTTGTATTTGCATAAATGCAGGAAGTGTTGGGATCGTGGCGTGTTATCAGAGACCTGTGGGAAAATTTAGCTCTGTTGAGCCGAACAGGATGTAGGGTGAAAGTTGGAGTGGACTGGGAAACAAAAACGGCACAGCTTTTTGTAGACGCACCCTTTATGGATATTGGAACATTGTGTTACCCTTCACTGAAATACGCCGTAAATCAGTAGTAAATGTAGCGTTTAGGCAGGTGTGATTTACAGCGAGGGATAGACGAACTCAAAATAGGAAACAATTGAGAAGGGAACTAAAATAAAGATCTTAAAAGCTGATATGAGCATTCACAATTAGTTTCCTTTTAAATACAGTCCAATAACCCAATTGGCTCCAGAAGTCACGGATCGGTCCATCTCTGCGTGGTTTCGTCTCAGTATGAACCCAGATGTTCTGTGAAGGTATCAGGGGTTTGTGAAGAACACACCGGATGGATCAGAGATAAAGTCGCAGAGACGTTTAAAGCTTGTTTAGTTTATGAAGCAATATCCCAAGCTTTGAACATCTCTCAGAGCTCTGTTTAATCCATCATCTGAGAAAGAGTATGGAACAGCTGCAGACCTAAGACGTGGCCGCCCGCCTGGAGTGACAGGCCCGCCAAGTAGAGCCTTAATCAGAGAAACGGTCAAGAGGATGGTGGTTATTCTGGAAGTGCTGCTGAGATCTACATCATAGATGTGAGAGTCTTCTGGCAGAAGGTACATAGTTACATCATCCCCACTGTAAAGTACGGTGGTGGCAGCATCATGCTGTAGGGAAGGTTTTCTTTATCAGGGACAGTAAAGCTGGTTTAACGCTGAAGATGGATGGAGCTAAATACAGGGCGGTTCTGCTAAAAGAAAGTTTAGACTCCAGACCTCAATCCAATTGAGAATTTGTAAAGAGAGACTTGAAAGATGATGTTCACAGACACTGACGAGTTGCCAAAAAACAAATTCCTTCTGGACATACGCAGGGCTGGTGGACATACACCCTAAAAGCCTTGCAGATTGAATTAGAGCAGAAGATATGGACAAAGGATCGACTCAGTAAGCAGATCTACACTCACTGTTGATGAAGAAATGGTTTTATGAACTGGAGCTAGATTGGGGAATTTTAATCACCTGATTATTCGTTCCTCGTACTCTTCCCTCTGCTTGATTATCTGCTGCTGAAGGCCCGTCAGGATGCTTCGCAGAGCGCTGGCAGAAGGGTCAGCCAGGGGAACCGGAGGGGGCACCCTCACAGACAACGGTGCCTCCTTTAAGTGCTTGGTTTCAGCAGGGGGCCACAGATCCTGGCTGTGGCTCGGCTGCGGGGGACTTTCTGCGAGGCGCTGCTGTGGAAATGACAGCGTCGGATCCTCTTGAGCACAGGATCCTGAGTCCAGCTCTGGCTCCTGCTTCTCGTCTTGGTCTGGACTCTGGCGCTGCCTACCAGAACAGCCTTCGGTAAGGAGGATGTCACAAGGCGGCCAGAGGTTCTTCTCTCTGCCCAGAGGGTCGCCCTGCATCAGTCCTTGGATGAGCTCAGGGGCCCAGGAGGCGTATGCGTGCTCGTCAAAATGCTCCTGCAAGTTCATCTCTATGTCGAAGACCTCCTCTAAGCTGTCAGCTACTCCTGTGTCAGTGAGGTTGTCATACAGAGACAAAGCACTGCGATGCTCCTCGCTGTGCGACGGGCAGGGGCTTTGGCTCCGATAAGCCCCATCCTCTGCTTGCCAGTCCACTCCCCGTTGTCCTCCTCCTTTGTTTCTGCTAGAACTAAGATCTGACTCCCAGGCCTGTCCTCCCAGGCTCCCTCTGCAGCTGCAATAGCTGCGATCTGGCCAGGAGCCAGGCTCTCTTCCTCCAACAACCACTGTCTGAACCTCAGCCAGAGCTGGGACCAAACCAGGCAGAGGGCTGCCGGGCCCAGGGAGTCTGGTTACTGAAGGAAACACAGCCCTGCTCTCCATTTCCTTTTCCCTGGCCCTGTCCCGCTGGCCAAAAGGTGGGCAGTTGTCGTACAGGGGATCCGTGGAGCAGGAGCTGGCTGAGGTGGGGGTCTCAGTTGGAAGACAGGGCAACTCCATGGTCCAAGCAGGCACATGGGGTTGCAAAGAGCAGTGGTCAACCCTCCCCTTTTCTGCCTGCTGTAAAACTGGGATTAAAGGCTGCAATTATGGATGTGTGCGCGCAGCATGGAGCTTCCCTGCGCCAGGTTCCTGATGCTCCGGGGGCGGGGGCGGGGGGGCCTGGGGAGAGGAAGGTGCAGCGGCCCTGCTCCCCTCTCTGCTCTGCCTTTGAAGATACTGTTGGACAGGTTATAGTGTGGGTGTAGCCACCAGGGACTGTGTGTCTTTAAGCAGGCGTGACATCAGCTGTTACTTTAGCACAGCTCCTGGGGGAGGTACCAGGGTGTAATATGGTCCGGCTCATTCCTGAAGACAGTCACACATAACTGAGACCACAGAAATAGATGCTGGTTGTGGGCACAAAGTGTGAAACACGGACAATAAATCTGATAAGATGTTGGACGAGTAAGATGTGACAAAAACCCGCAGGATCATAGTTTTACATTTCTGTTGCTCAGACATTTTTCTTTTTTTTTCTTTTTTTTTCCTCCAGTGTATGAAGTAGATGGGCTACAGCTACTGTTAGATGGACACTTAAATTGTATGTTATGGTAATTTCTCTGTAAATTGGTTTACAGATACAATGAAATCCACTGGAATACTCCTACAGCATCTTGAAAAAATATATATAAACCCCTTAAAATCTTTTGTTCTTCTCATATTGCAACCACAAACCGACGACGCAGCCTATTAATTTCTTCTTGCTTTTTAAAATGCTCTAGATCTGTATAATGTTCTAGATCTGTGGAACAAAGAGTAGTGTTTTTTTTTTTTTTTACATTCTACTTTGTGTTAGTACATTGCATAAAATCATGATAACATAAATTAAAGATTGTGGTAGTTTTGAGATGTTGTGTTGTGACTGTTTTGCAGGATTTTGTTGCCAGTTTTCTTGACCTGATGTAACAGGAGACATTGATTTTTCGTGTCGTTTCACTTTAGTTGACCATTCTTTTCAACAGCTTGTATTGTCTGAAACAGCTGATTATAAAGATGTACCCAAAGTGTCACCTAATTAGCTTTAAATATTAGAAGTATAAAAACTCATCGTTGTGCTTTGCTTTTTGTTGTTGTGGTTTTTGCTTCTTCTTTAGCCAAAAGCACTAACATTATTTGATGTAGCCATTTTGATTTATTTTGTTTTGCTTTTTAATTTCCTTCCTGAAAAGTGCACTACTTTGTCATTGTTAATCTAACACCTGGGGAAAGATAAAATATCTTCTGGTGATCGCATTCAACGATTCACTGTCTCCTCACTTTGTCATATTCCAGGCGCCATGACAAATTCATATTTTGCAAAAATGTGACGCATTTCTAATTTTGCCATCGTCATGAACAGTTTAGCGCAGGTTCAGTTTTCACAGTCAGTGTGTTTGAAACCACATGGGGGCGCTTTAGACAACATAATGAGCCAGTTTTGTTGCAGCTTGTGATGAGCAGGACTTATTAAAATCAAACTGAAGTAGCTCTTCCACTCCTGTTTCATGACACAGGTGCTCGTTTTAGCTTTCTAAATGTGTATTTTTAGAACTCCATTATCAATGCTTTTTTTTTTTTTTTTTTTTTTTTTTGAAAAAATCTAAAAAAAATAAAAAAAAAAAAAATTTGACAACAAAGGGGGACA